GGGGCTGAAAGGGTGTCCGTACATACCTTGAGTATTACGGGTGATAGTTCATCCGGGCCCGATGCTTTATTCAACTTTGTTTTCAGTAGCTGTTTCAGGTCTGTGGCGGGTTCGATAGTTGGTGTCGGCATAGAACTGACTATTTCTGGCAGGGCAGTGCACTGTAAAACTGGACTAAACTCGGAATTCGGTTTCTCAACGTCGACAGTTTCCTTTTTGTGTTTATTGCTACCGCCACACAGTCGGTTGATAGCCTTCCACATGCCACGACAACTAGAGTTTCCCTGGGTACCTGCTTGAGTAGTGGTGCTGATTATCTGTTTTCATGGATGAAAACCGTTTCGAGTGGACACTGCTTAAAACAAATTAAGCTACTCCGTAATATGTTCACAGAGGACAGAAGGGCTCTGATTGGGAAACACCGAAAGATTTGTGGTGGCAATCATGGATCTTAGCCTTTGTAGGTTCTCTGATGAACACTTTCTTGGAAGGCCTTCTTAAAAACGTTTAACGGTTAGGTTTGCTGTATACAGTGGGACATGCTTTTAAGGTACAATGATCAGAACTGCTCAGAGAGGCACGTTTCTGGACTTCGAAACATTGCGGTCTGTTTGTAGAAACGAAATCAAGTTGTGAATTGAGTCTGGTGGGAAAATGTACCAAATTTTTGTAGGCCCAGGGTGGTGAAGAAAGTTATATCATCAACAAATATACACACAGTTACTTGTTTTCGGTATGATGGAGGTAGAAAAAATGTCAGAAAATCTATTTATGTTTATTAAGCTTTGACTTTATCTCGGTGACTGTTCGCAGGTGTATTAATTGTGTCTGCTTTATCAATTAGGTACACGGTCGTTAGAAGCTAAACCTGTACGTGGCCGAGATAATCAGGAAATCGGTGGGATCACTGGACTCAAAGCTCTTGGTGTTCGTGAACTGTCCTATCGAATGGCATTTCTGGCGTGTACTGTCGTGCCATCAAACGGACGGGTGAGTTTCTAATTTGCTTATCAGAGAGCAATTATCGTATAATGTAGTTTTACTCATTATGTGTTTGCCATTTGTCTCAATTCTGAGACTACTTCTATCCTGAAGCTTCGTAATAGATAAATAAATTCAGGAATTATTTCAATCATTCGTTTGCTGAATCAATAGTGACTGACCGAATTCAGTTAAACTGATTCATCATATTTGACGGTTGATGATAAGCTTTCACATTCAGCGTACCGGGCCTCCGTATCTGCAACTCAAGACGACGTATTCAGTGAGAATCAATTCTACTTCATGTCTAGACACAGGTTTTTAATAACTTTTCAACATGTTCTTCAGAAGGTTTCGAGCTCAGCTAACCAGATCCCTTTTCATGCTAATTGTCTCTGAATATGCGTGTATGATGAAACTGTTCCACGGGTTCGTTCTTAGTCTGAATATTATTCGTTTATCTTCGCAGTATTTACCAACGGATGAATTGGACGATACAGATGCCATGTCTTACGAAGCTATGTCCAAACACCTCACACCTCACGAATTAGACACAATCTGTAAAATGAGTCAAGATAGACGCTTGTTTTCCAACCTCTGCAATTCTCTTTTCCCAACAATTCATGGAAACGAGGAGGTGAAGAAGGGAATTCTGCTCATGTTGTTTGGTGGTGTACCTAAAGTGAGTTCCGTTATGTTTCGATCTGCACCGATGACCACACTAATTTTCTTTCTATTCAAGAGTATTTATGTGTTCTAACTTGAAAACCTGCAGTTCAGTTCAGTTTCTACAACCATTAACCATGCACTTTCGGGCGCTCAATTTGGTTGCCGTCTTTTGGCTGCCCATTTAGATGAACGTGAGAAAGACAAGGAAGTTGAAGGTAGAGTCGAATAGAAAATGAGGAAGTCCAGTGGACTAGTGATGCAAAAAAATTGAGATGCACGAACGCCACTGGTTACGACACCCAGTCATATCACTAGGTGCCTCTAACCATCGGTTACGATCATCCCGAGGTCCCTATCCGGGGAGCCTAACAGGACCTATGTGACCCAGACTCCTAGTCAGGGCTCTCATACCCTCATGCCAGGTTTTAGCTTGGCCACTCTTGACTTTCTTCCACTCACTACCTGCCTCGGCGAACATCGCTCGCTGTAACAACCTATCTGATGACATGCTTAACACATGTCCCAACCAGCGTAATCTATGGAGGTCGACCACTTGCTCCAGTGAATGACCCCGATTACCCAAAACTCTGCGCCTAACCTTGGCATTGCTCGTCCGACTGCCCCATCAGATTCGTGCAATGCTGCGTAGACAGCGGTGTTCAAACACCGACAGTCTATCCTTATCCTGCTTCCTTAATGGCGAAAATTCTGCGCCGTATAGCAGAACTGGCCGAACTGCCGCTGCATACGCTCGACCCTTCACAGACAGCCGGATGTCGCCCTATGTCTCAAGTTATCAAATGCCAACCGAGCCTTCTATATGCGAGCTGACACTTCATCTGTGATGCGTCCACCGAGTGAGATGTAGCTGCACAAATAACAAAGCTTATCCACTTGCTCTATTGCTTCCCCAGGTAGAGTGAGGTTGGGTGCTGGACCAACCCAGTCTTGAAGTAAGATTACAGTGTGAAGGTGCAAAACGCACACTGAACATGGCTACACTGACAATCAAACTATCCGGGAAAGCTTGCGACTTACCTAAATCTTCACTTAGCAGCACAATGTCGTCTTCATAATCTAGATCAGAGAGTCCGCCACTTGGGAGTAAATCGATACCGCTGTCATTGCACGAAGACGGGACTGTTTCAAGAATAAAATCTGTAACAAGCCTAAGTAAAAACAGAGAGAGAGAAGACAGCCTTGACAAACACCACAATTGTGCTATCACAGATTACTCACGGTTTATTCTATCGCTCTGTCTGTTTGTCCACTATGTAAATATGGACAGGTAGAGACATAATACAGTCAATAACTGTCCCCGTTTATTTTTGCACACCATCTCCACATGACTGGGTTACCACCGTACGCTTCCGGTTTCGGCGTTTTTGCTTCCAATGAATAAATATTTCTATTTTGAGCGATTGCATTAACCTTGATGGTGCTGAGTGCATCATGGATAACTGATCACTTACCGAATCTCATTATCCCACAGGTAACCGAAGAAGGCACGCATTTGCGAGGTGATTTGAATGTTTGTCTGGTTGGCGATCCAAGTACCGCAAAGTCACAGTTCCTGAAACACGTTGAGCGTTTTTCGCCACGTGCTGTTTACACCAGTGGCAAAGCCAGTTCTGCTGCCGGTTTGACGGCGGCTGTAGTTCGCGATGAAGAGTCATTCGAATTTGTGATTGAAGCGGGAGCCTTAATGCTTGCTGATAACGTAAGTCTGATTTGGCATTTATAAACCAAGAATTTCCTTTATTATGAATATATATTTACACGAAGTTCATAAAGTGTTTGTTCCTTCTAATAATTTCTAAAAGTTTTGTATATGGCGGCACATTTTTTGTTTTCACCGTGGACGGTTGTCATCACTCGTTTGAATTATTTGTAAATAAAAGGGACTTCGTTTCAACCCCAGCATTCATATGGTAACCAGTTAATTATATTGCAACTCAAGCTGACTTAATTAATCGTGGATGATTACCAGTGAGTTCTTTTTACTAATTTTTGTCCCAATACCCTACCAAAGGCTAGAAAAACGCAATGTTTTGGCTCTGGAAAGAGTTGGGGCTGCATTTACGTATGTCACTGTAGTCTGACAAATCTAGTCTGCAATGTTCGTTTTTTTGATCCGTTCTATTAGTTCTCTATTTAAGATCCATCCGTTTTTGGTGTAATGGATAGTCTTTTGCATTGTACCATTCACAAGCCGAGTAATTACAGCTTTCGTTAAACCATTTACACATACGATAGTACAGTGTAGTATAGTTGGAATGAATAGAGTTTATCAAGTTTAGGGTTCAGCTCCGACCACCGATGCTGAGCTGCAGCGTTGGACCCTATACCGTTAGTTTTTAAGATTCGAGTTTCAGATTTAACCACCATTAACCATGCACTTCCGCGCGCCTGTTTTGGTTGCTATCTTTTGGCAACCCATTTGGATGAGGCAATAAAAGAAAGATAAGAAAGTTAAAATTCGAGTCAAAGAAGAAATGGAGAATTTCAATAGACTGAAGTTGCAAAGAAATTGAGCAGATGCACGAGCGCCATTGTTTACGACACAGCCATGTCACTCAATGTTTCTAGCAATTGACTGCAACGATCCCGAGGTACGAGTCCAGGGAGCATAAAGCAACCTATATGGCGGAGTCTCCTGGTTGGGATCCTCATACGCTCGTGCTCCATCGTTTCACATCGTCCTGACCCTCAACAGGGATGTGATGCTTGCTGAGCTGACCCGGTAGAGAACCCACACGTTGTTCTCAACCTCGAGTCTTTGGAATACCCAGTGAACTTCGACTGTGCACAGTAGGAGTGCCATCGTCACACGGCTAACTACAGATGACAACAAGAACATCACAGACAATACAGACGGGTGATCAGATAGTCTGTATTAGGTTATGGGATTCCAAGTTTCGCAAATCGCGGAAAGTGATCCTTTCAGATTGCAGAGGCGGTTAGAGACAATGTGATCGTTTGAAGGCGGTTTCCAAGTAAGGCGATGTCGTACAGCATACAGTCGGCTACTGACAGGAATCCAGTCAAGAAGTGAGCACTCGGTCTCGACACTGCATTCCCCACACCGCGAGTATCGAATGCCCAATAGCCTGACACGAAGGGAAAACGTGAGAATGAGATTGGATTAAGAGAATGCAGGGAGATGATTGCAGTGGAGTCTTCCATACGTGTTTCGGGAACGCAACGTACATCTCAGTTGGAAGTTTCAAGGGTTCTAGCTAATACAGCATGTTAACTGATCAGATGGTGCTTGTGGACGTTAAACGTGACTCAGTAAAAGGAGATTTTGGCCTCAGAAACCCTATTCTGATTGTTTGGCCTCAATGGTAAAACGCTGAATGATATCCGGTGGATGGCGTAAACAGGACGCATTCAGAATTTTTCGAGCTTGTGATAAAACAAAACAGGTGGGAGTTTTTTCCAAATTGGGCACGAAGTACTTCGCATTAACCCAGACTGACGAAGGAGTTTTTCTTTGGGAACCCTAACTAAAAAGTCTGACCCACAAGGGGGTGAGGCGTAGATCCAACGTGGGAGCGTGACGAAGTCATCCATGTGCTAGCTTCTAGAGATTTGT